GACAAATCCAGAGCGGAGAAGAGCAGAGCTCCAAATAAATCAAGCTCCGTGAAGCAGGTAAAGAGAAAGAAGAGTTAAACAAATAATTCGATTTTAGATGAACCCTTTAAGTCTTTGACTGATTTTTAATTTCCCCCTGAAGAGGTTGAGCATCCTAAATTCACAACTTTAAGGTCAAAAGTGAACATTCGTAGGTGTAGCTGCGTTCCCACGAAAGGTGAGATCTAAACGACGAGTTTGCAACTTGATTAATCAACCTGATAACAAGTGTTTTTCAGAAGTTTCTAAACCTTTTTACCTCCAAGAAGCTTCTATACTATGCTATATGCTACAATGCTATACCTGTTCAAGTCACAGCCTTTTCAGTGAGTTGCATATTAGTAACTGATATAGCCTGGTTCTTGTACTGGGACCTTTCTGGATTAGAAGAGTTTGTCATTGCGTACATGTTACACATGAATAAACATCAACTTTTAATTGCTGAAATCTAAATTTCATTCTTCACACTGGAAACGTCGTCCGCAGCAGTAGGTCCAGCTCACCCACCCCAGCCAAGGCCCTGGCTCACACTCATTCTCATTTAAACACCATTCAGCTAGCGCTCCCTAATCCCACACTAGTTCTGAATACAGAAAAGAGTGGGTTCATGGTATCCTGCATATGTGCCTGTGCCTTTCCTGCAATTAAAGCTGACCAGCACACACAATGTCTTAGAAGTATATATGCAGCAGACTTTCATTTAACATTTATATTGTAAACTTAAGCTAGGCTTTGTGTAGAGAATGACTGAGTTATGAAGGTTGCCCTGCATTGTGCACAAAACCCCCACAGTTCTCTATATGAACAGGCTTTACAGTCAAGAAGAACTCTAACAGTATTCATATATAAAACGTCTCTGCTTAAGCTTCTAAAGCATTGCATCTCCCATTTAAATCTTGAAAATGAAATTCAAGATCCAGTAAAACCCTAACTTTACATATTTCATATGTACATACAAAGCTTGCTAGAAGTGGCTTGATGTAGTCTACACATACAAATGGTAAGGACTCCAAACTGTCCTAAAATGTTTAGTTTCTTGTTCTCGAGTCTCCCTCATAAAGGAGAATTTTACTTATTTGAAACTGCCTGATTAAGATGTAATAAATCCAGCATATACAATATGCTGTATACCAAGCTTGCCTGTACAAATAAAAGGCATTTCTATATAGTGGCTTTCCAAGTTATCTTTAAATGTTGTGTAATTGCAGAGGTAACACTTGTGAGCGGCTTCAAACTGCTCGGCTCACACCCAAGGCTGGGTTCACATGTAGGTTCAGGCAGCACAAGACCTTTGCTTAAGGTTGGGGAAAGATCACGTTTTCCGGTTTTAAATCAGACAATAAATGTTTCCACGTCCCCGGGTTAATGCTTAAACACAGACATAAAAACAGGCATGGAATCATCAGGTGTGTACAAATATTAAAAAAAGTGGATATTCTAGTATAAAAAATGTCTTAACCTTCAACGCATGTTGTGAGTTTTCATTTTTACACTGTAGTGCTCCCACAGCAATAGCTTGAGGTGACTTTTGTTTGTGTTAGAGAATCTAATGCTTCACAGTGGGACAACAGGCCTAAAGCGATGGTAAGTAACACAAGCGAGTCTGTCTTTGTCTTAAAGGAAATCCTTCCTCACTGCTGTTTAGGAAAGTACCTGGAAAGAAGTTGTGAAGTTTGAAATCCACATCTTTTCCAACTTAAATCTGAGAAGATAATGCATAAATGTATAGCATAGAATAGTGTCCTCAACATCATCCCCTGTATATCTGTCTCACACTCGCTCTCATTCATCCCGCTGTCGTTCCAGCCAATCTTCCTCCTCCCATATATTTCCAGCATCTCTTCGTACCTCATCATCCCCTCCACAATTTATGACTCTCTCTCTCTCTTCTCTTCTTGCTTCATGTCTTTAAATCTGTTCTCTCTTCTTATTTCACTTTATCTCCTCTTCCCTCCTTGTACGAGTCTCCTTCCTCCTCAGCTCTTTTGCAAATCATTTTGTCCCTTATGGCAAAATTTCTCTTTTTTTGTAAGTGCAGAGCTATTATAGCTCAATGTTGACGTTAAAAGTCTTTTTTCAGTTTGTACAGTATTTTGCATCGTTTTAACAAGGATTCAATATATAACAGGTGCTGAACTGAATTAGCTTTGCCTCGAAACAATTATAATGGAAGAAACAGCAGCAATTCCCTCTGCGCTATGCTCCTCCTCTCCCCTTCTTCCTCATCACCCCTCTTTTCTGCTCCTCTTCCAACTTTCCGTGGTTCCGCCTGCTGTGAGCGCATTGTACTTCTTGCTACTGATCTTTAGTTTCATCCTTTTTTTTCTCTTTTCTGTGTCTAAGTTTTCTCTCATTGCTGTCTCCAGAATCTGAGGGCAGCTAAACGCACTGACTGAAGCGTCGCAGAAAAGTGCACTTTTCAGGTATCTTGATCATTTTTACGCATGTACATAGAAGTGTGCGGTTCAACATTTACATATTTCAAATGTATCCAGCATTGTTTGGTGTCAAACTTGGTAAAGTTGCAGTTTAATTGGACTCAACAGGTTCAAATAAATCAATTTCTGACTTATATTTTCTCCAGTATCTCGAGTTTGCAGTTATGGTGAGATAAAACAAAGCAGAAAGTTTCTCTAATCGGGCTGTGACCTGCTGATGAGGATAAGGATACATGACGCTTTTGAAAATTCTCCCAAGTCTTTCTAATCCATATAGCCCACGGTCGTTCGGCTTTACAGCTGTGAAGCTGTTGCCAAATGTGGGAATGTTTTATTCAGACGGAAAATTTACATGTGATGAAAATCTTTATAAATACCTTCCAGCTTCGGGCATGTCTACACACTTCCAACTTTTTAAGGGTATTTTCTACGACAGGCCAACTAGACTGAGCACAGTCAGGCGTTGAGTGAGATGGAAAATATGGGACTTTTTATTATGTTTTCACCTTTCTCTGATGGAAACATAATACTCCAATCAGCATTTATTCTGCTACCATTGGATGGATCTATTAAGGCCAAGTTACGTCCACTTTATGCAAGATGGTTTGGAATACCACTTAATGTGTCAGAGGCTTCACACCAACACACAAACAGAGTGAAGGTGTGCAGGGACAGGTTAGTTGTTGTTGCAGCTGGAATAGTTTGAGGGTTACACGGCTCAAATAATCTAAAATATCACAAGAGAAAAGTCTCAATAACATTACTAACATTAATAACCACGAGGGCCATTTACTGCGTAATGAGTTCTTTTACTTTGACAGCTTCGCTTGCAGGACTGTTCTGACACATCGCTGTAATGGATCTGAACATTCTCACCACTGCTCTTCTGTTGCCCCGATGTTTCTCCAGTACCTTCAATCTCCCATTTCTGCGCCCCTGCTGTAAATTACTCCCACCCCTTCTCCATCTTTGTAATAGATGGCTGATGCTGGTCAGTGTGACAGAGTCGTCCTGCCGCCGGTTCATCTACCTGCTGATCAGATCTATATGACATCAGCTTCACACAATAAATCAGCGCGCACACACCTGCAGTTTCTGGTGGGTGCACGGCCTCCGTCCATTCTGACGATTGATGCGCACCTTATTGCTAAACGCCCAATATAATTAAACTCCCAACATCCCACCCCGTGTGTGTGTGTGTGTGTGTGTGTGTGTGTGTGTGTGGTGTGTGTGTGGCAGTTCTTCTGTGCACATTTGCAATGCACTCACATGCACAATTTGAATACACATCTGTTCTTCCTTTTTCCTCTCACACAAAGTGTTAAAACTATAAACTCACACTTTCTGCCACTACACATCTTTTTTACATACACTTACACACGCACACGCACACAGTCTCTCTCTGTTCATCCTCACAGAGAGAGAGAGGGAATGGGGAGTGAGAGAGCACCTGCTTGTTTGTAAAGCACTCAGACAAACGGTCATCTGTGTTTGGGAAGACTTGAACAAATGGGAAAATTATACAGTGGAACCTAAACGACACTCTTTCACCCAAAGATGCATCGTCCCACGCAGCCGAGGAGACATTTTGGAGCATATCCAGTATTATTTTGTTTGTTTGTTTTAATGCCTGTATTTGTTAAGAGCATATGATGAGTATACCTGAGCAGAAGGTAAATAAACTAGGACTTCAGAAATAAGTACTGGAGCTGCTAAAGAAGTGAAATAACCAGAGAGACACAATAAGATGCAAAACTTAAAGATCATAAGACATAAAAAATGACCCCAAAGGGACCAGAGCGAGACAAACTGCCAGGTCACGCAAACATACAAAGAAAAGGACACAAATGACAAGCGCGTGTGCAACAAGACTGAGGTGGGAAGGAATAGCAAAGAAGGAGACGCAGAATAACGACCGCAAAGAGACCGCTGAGTCCTCTGCAACCTTAGAGACACGGATGTGAGTTCAGAATGAACAATATTTCCTACTTGGATGCCGACTCTTTATATCGCACTACAACTCTGGCTGAGAGTCCCTGAGCTTCCCTGGAGGAAATGCGATTCACCCGCGATGTCCAGCTTTTAGCACACTCGTGTTATTTTATCCGCCCACGTGTACGCTGATGCATGAATAGCAGGCAGCCTGTTGGCCTTGCAGTGAGTTTAAAAACCAAAACTGTCCAATCAAAGTGTCAAAGCCTGAATTTGTATCCAATCAAAACGATTGTAACTAACGAATGGACGCACGTCCTAAATAAACGACACCCGTGTTCTCTCCCCCTTTCCTCGAGCGTAAAAATGCTCGTCTTCACCTGAGTCTCTCACCTCTGACAAACACACACACACGCGAGGATCAGGCGCACTCCCTGCTCTCTCGCTCTTTCTCTCTCTGTGACTCGCGCCCTCGCTATCTCGTACACTCGGCCAGCGCGCACACACACACACTCAGCACGAGAAGTAAACTCATCACCCGCACTCATTACGCGCACATAGGCGTTAAATCGGAGCGTGACATCCTCTTACCTGGTGTTTCAGAGGAACTAATCCTGAATCCAAGCAGATAACGGAATCTTGACCAGACACAAATGTTAAAAAAAATAATCCCAGCACTGGCTCTCTTTTCTTTCCTCCTCTCCAAAGTGACGGGACGATATAAGCGTAAATAAACAGCCGAAGAAGGTTGTTTTCTTCTCTCCTCTGCCCCCCAAAAATGAGATGTAGACCCTCAGACAGCCTCTCTGGCTATAAAAAGGAATAAAATCCCTTTTCCTCTTCTCTCCTTCTTTCTCCGAGATGTTGGTAGGATAAAGTCTCCTCCAATTAACCGCAGTTAGGCATCTCCCCCGCTCTCCCTCTCTCTTTCTCTCTAGCTTTCCTTTCCTCCGCCCTCCGTGTATCCCGCTCCTTTCTTCCAGGACGGGATGGAAGACAAAGAAAAAGCAGGTACAGACCTCTGTGTTCAGTCTTTTCTCTGACTCTGTCCGGGCAATGGTGTGGAAGAGTCGCTCTACTTTGCGCAGCCAAAAATAACTTCCAATCTCCAAACTGGAATCCCGAGAAGCGCTGGCACTCAAATAATCTCTATTAAATTCTTACAATATTCATACTGTGGCGCTGTAGTAGAAATGACGCCTTTATGTTCGTCCTTGTTGCACTTTGTGGAGGTTTTTCTCTGTCCCTATAATATTTCTACAGGGGATTTAACGCGCCAGCAGCAGTCAATGTGTGCCCACAGAAATGTTGAGGTACTTAATATTTTATGATTTATGATCTCTCTAAAAGTCATGTATAATTCCTTTATATAAGGTTCATTCCAAGTTTCACTGCTTACAAGACAGCTGAAGGGAATGACAGGAAATGTGTCCTTAATGACCAAGTAATAATCTGCAGGTTCCAGCTTTGTTGGTTGATATCGTCAGTATATCGAGTCATCAATAAGTAGATCCAGAGGGGCTGCTGGAGAGGCATGAGAATCAAGCTGCAGTGCACCGTTCACCTTTCTCCTCACATCCACTCCAACAGCTCAAAGTTTGTCCGTTAAAAATCTCCAGAAGTCAGTCAGCCAATCTATCAGCTCATAAAAACAATGAGTCCATACTCAATCAGCGGTCGATTACTTACAGCGCAGTAATTCAGGAACAGGCTTCCGCGTTCCCCTAATTTTCCCCAAAAGACCTTTTTGGAAATAATAGCTTGCGCGTGTTCTCCATTTCTCTCTGCTGTCTCCTCTTTGCTCTCACCTTTTTCTTACTTTTCTTCCTCTCCAGGAATGTGTCCCTTACAGGTCAGAGTGTTAAACCAACCTTTTTTCTTTCCTGGACACAATCCCGGAATGTGCTTTGCTGCCAAAATCACAAAAAAAGTCCACTTGAAATGACTTTTGGAAATCCTTCTCGTAGCGCTGGGAGAAAAGGGAGAGGAGGGGAGAGCGCGAAGCCTTCAGCCGCTTCTTCTGGGTCGTCCACCAACCCGATGAAGAGGAATGAGGAGATGGGGAGGAGGAACAGGGGGAGCAGTATCTCCTCCCTTTTTTAAGCTACAGAACGATGAAGGGACCAGAAGAAGAGGAGACTGGAAGGAAGAAAGTGTCTGCTCCTCTGATTAAACCACAAAGGAGGAACACCACTTTTGATTCGGTGGCTGAAACAGCGCCTCTTTTCCCCCTCTCTTCCAGAAATACTTACCCTGCTCATCCGTTTCCCTCAGATACTTTACCACCTGCCCACAGAAAGACAGATAAGAGACATGAAATCTGCCATTTCTCGCGGAGGCTTTTATCCAAAGTGCCATAAGAGAGTCCACAAGAGAGCGCAGAGAAGCCAGAGAGAGAGAGAGAGAGAGAGAGAGAGAGCGAGCTTTGGGCAAAGAAAAAAAAGAAAAAAAAGAAAAAAGAAATTAAAGGAATATCATTTTTCTTGTTTCTGTGTTTTTGTGTGTGCTGATGTTTAAACCCGTGCCCATGTCAGCTGGTTTACTGTCGTGGGTAACACGGAGGGTTTGTGTTGTTGAGATGAGACATTGATAGAAATGACTGGGACAGACTGCACCGGGCTGCTCTCGCTCCCCACGCGAACGGCGCTGTTCCTTCAGCACTACACAGACACACAAACACACAAACACAGCCAGAGTGGCGAACAGAAAGAAACGAGGTGAAGGTGCACAGATGCGATTTTCTTACATTAAACTAGACTTTTTATGTAGTTAGTTAGTTTTTGTTTTATTTTTCCCTCTTAGTGTTTGTGAGTTGGTGTGTTCATATCATCTTACCTGCATTTTAACGCTACAGATCTTTATTTTTAGAGGGAAAAACACAAAGGGGTAAAAAGAGAAAGTTTTAGAAGAAAAAATATATAAGGGAGGCTCGTAACAGAGGGAGTGCGTGCGAAGGAGACAGCGAGGATAGCCAAGTGTTGCTGCTGGGGTTTTGTTGCGTCAGGAGGGTGAACAGTGCCACATTGTTGCCCCCTTTTGGCCACTGAGGGAAATTATCTGAGGGGGCGAAATGGGAAAAAACATTTAATGGTGAAGGAAGGATGCTTAGTAGAATTATCAGGAATTAGATATTTTTTTCTTTTTTAAACAGGGTCTATAGGCTTTAATTTGAGGAGGGGAAACACTGTTGTTACACTTCTATTTTAAAATACGGGGGGTAGTGTTTTTCTTATCTGTAATGCTTTTCCAGAGAGTGCAGCACGAGTTCAATTATGAGAAACAATATCAGTTAAAACAGAAACTATATCATTAAGTTCATGCTTTAGTCACCAATGACCATTTTCCTCGGGTCAGGGACTGAAAGTTTCATGGCTAAATGAGAAACTGTGACTGCAGTTAAACCTCCACATGCTGCCTGGCTAATTGGCCTATGATCTTAGGCAGAAATTACAGAGAAGGGGGAGGAGTATCTGGATCCTTATGCCTCACCTGTTTAAGTTACTACTTACCAACACCTTTACTTTGAAAATATTTAGAAATTTAAAGCAAAGGATGTGTCAGCTGCTTATTTTTCTTCATTTCTGTCACTTACATACAGAAACAATGTGAACAGGATGTGGCAACAGAATGCATGTGAAACAGAGAGGAGACACATTCAAAAAGAAAACACGGGACAACATATACAATGAGAAACTGTTACAAATGTACATTTCGGAACTCTTACAAACAGTGCAGTTGTAGCTTTGGGAGCGAGTGGAATGAGAATGCATTATTTCAAGGTAAGTCCAGAATAAGTTACACTGAAGAGAGAGAGATATACGCAGTGAATTATCCCCATCAGAGACTATGAGGCTAAAATGTGCCATAGCATGCATTCACACCGGGTTATACAGACAGTAAATATTGTGATTATCATGCAAATTTAAAATGCTTAAATATTAATAGACATAAGAGAGACAATTCTTCCATTCACAGAGTTGAGTCTTGCTAAAACATGTTATGTTGACTGATAGCTTGTGCATAGAGGCTGGAGGTACGGACAGGTGAGTCAGGGTACTGTGGACCATCTCAGAATGCAAAGCTTTGGAACAGATGGTTAACTAGATGTTTAGGGTCACTGGCAATCCTAGCTGCCCTTTTCCTCACCCTAGTGTCATGCGGTTCCTAGATGGAGCGGAGCAGACAGCCAGCAAGGCACCTACCAGTGCGGAAAATATGCTGGACCTTGTCCCTGGAAAGGAGACTGCCTGTTTTAGCTTTGGTGTACGATGCGAGGATCGTGTCAACAAGGGATGCCTAAAATTGGGTAAAGAGACATCATATGTGGCCACAGTTAGGGATACAATCATGCTCTACCCTCCAGGAAAAATTCAAACCAGAATAAAAAAAATCATTTATGCACTTCTTTTTTTTTATGCACTACACGTCTTAGTCTGTGTGGACTTTCTCTAAAAACTGTTAAAATTTATATGAGGCTGGGTTGATTACTGCTTTAGCCCTACTTTAGATATTTTATTGTGCTTTTGTAGTCTTTTGAAGATTTTAAATACACTTCATTCTCAGTAATATTTAAAGTAGAAAAGAGTACTTTCAATTTTGGATTGGCTAATAATCTGTAAAATATATTTTACCTGTGTTACGCCCCACTTAAAAACGAAGTGTTGACTGGGGTGAGGGGTAACACAAAGTGAAAGAGAAAACATGAACTACCGGAGAATACATGTAGATGTCATTAAACAAGATTTATTGCCCAAAACTACTACAGTAAAAATAAACACAGGGAAGCTCTTTTCTTCAGGGTCTCCAAGGCCAAAACAACAAACAAAACACCCCCTTTAGCTAAAAATCAAACCAAGTACTCACTAACCAAAACAAAATACAATGGCTGAGCTCCCTGTCTAACCAAAACAGGAGAAAACAGTTGAAACAAAAATGGCAGAGAACCCCTACCTGCTTCCACAAC